GTTCTCAATAGCTTTTTTTTACTTAAATGTTTCTTTTTATGAATATTTTCAACTGCTTCACAACCCTGTAACAAGTTACAGCAACTGTTACTCTCCCCATTGCAGTTAACACAAAAGGCACAGTGATAAAATTATTTTTCCCAAGGTCATGCAACAACAGGGGCCAAATCAGGACTCTTATAGTGTCTGGTTGTCCCCTCAAGGCCTCAAGTAAGTTATGGGGCTGATGTGGCTAGAGGAGCGACATGTGGATTGAGGGGCAGGGGCCAGAGAGGCACGAACCATTGGCTAGCCTGAGCTTTCTTTTTTTTTTTTTTTTTTTTTTCATAATTTTATTGAAAAACAAGTAACAGTGAGACAGTTTCAAACCAAATTGGTAGGACAGTTTCAATAACTAATACATTGCATACATTCTTCCTAGTGGTTAAATGCTGTACAAGATGCGGACATGATATCCTATTTACAAACACCATTAGAACAAATCATTCTATTCATTAAGAGAATGTAACTATATATCTATCCTAACCACTTTGAATACACAGATACAAAATGGACATGCATCTGTATCCCTTTTTTTGGTTAAGTTCCATTATTTGAATATTATAGGTGTGTAAACTCAGCAAAATATTCTGAGTCCAGTAGCCCATAATAGTATTGGGTCTTCCCCTTGGCATAGCCTGAGCATTCTAAGAGACGTGGAGAGGGTCATCTTGGACATGGCAGTGCCCCCGCCTCTCCTCCAGTGTCTTGAAACCTCCAGTAACTGTGAGCTAAACCTTCCCTTCCCTTATTTTGAGTATCGGGTATTTGTCCCAACAACTAGAGAAGAGTAACTATGATGAAGACCTCATAACTTCCCCATTATTTCATTATTATTCTGCCTCAAATTATAACATTACCTCTTAAGAATTAAAGTATCTTTGGGCATTGAACATCTCTTCATTATACATGAAATAAGTTTTCCACCCACATTCTAATTATGACTTAGAAGCACATAAAACAAAAGAAAGTTGGGTCTGGGAGTGCACACCTGGAATCCAGTCTGGGAGACTGACACAGCAGGATCTCCAGTTCAAGCCCAGCCTCAGCAAGACCTTATCTCAAAAATAAAAGATAAAAAGATGTAAAGATGTAGCTCCCTGTAAAGGCCCCAGGTTTAATCCCCAGCATTATGGGGGGAGGGGGGAGCTGTCCCAAATTGGCAAAAGCTAATTCTACCTAGACTTTTTAGTTTAAAAAAAAAAAAAAGCCAGATATAAACACATGTAATTTCAATTTTTTAATGTATTAACATATTGTTTGACAAAGAATACCTGAATTAAAGAAAAAAAAAACACAACTCTACCTTTATAATCATATTCTGTACCACATCTTTCATTTCAGCACTTTCACACCATTCTGTAGTAGCCTAGCTCCTTATGAACTCAGAATGCTTGGTTATGTTCAGCTGAACACCCTGACCCTGACCCTGGCGCATGGTGAATGGCTCAATAACTGTTTATAATGAAACAGATGAACAAATGAAGTACTCTCCCAAAGGAGAATCAGGAAAAGAGAAAATGGGCATGATAACAAAGTGAAAGAAACAAACCATTTTAAGGTTTTCATAAGGAAGAGAAACCTTTGTGTGGAGTCAAACAGGCCCTTGTATGGTTTTAAGTATCACTAGAGAAAAGACCAAACCCACAGGAGACCCAGAAGAAATAGTTTCAAGTTAAAAAAAAACCTCAAGAGTTAATATACTTATTCAGACTAGCAAAATCAAGTTGTAAATTCCCAAGAAACATTTCTCGGCTTAGAATAGTCCAAGTTTTTAGGGTATGGCCAACAGAAAAAGAATATACAAACATAACCTGAAAAATCTTGCAGGCTTTAGATGGACAGACAGGCAATAAAAGGAAGAAAAGATCAAGCTAAAAATGAATTCCCCAAAATGCTGGGACCCTCCTGAATTTGCATACCGGGATGCAGTTCTTCTTTACTATTCTTGAATAAAACCCCAGTGTAATACCTTGTGGTAAATATGACTAAACTATATCGTTCATTCAAGAAATACTTGAAGGCCTGCTATCTGCAGTCCCTATTAAGGCACTGGACTTAGAGCAATGAACCTGAACAAGCAAAACTTCCTGCTCTCAGGAGCTCTAAAGACGTAACGGGTGGATGGGTGGTAAGATGTACACTGGAAGGACGGATGAATGGACGATGTTCTGAGGAGACGGAAATAACAGAATGGACTGTCGGGGAGTAAGTGCTCGGGGAGCAAAACAAAGGAGCAAACTGACAAGATGCTAGTTTTATCAAGATCAGAGCTCTTTTTATTTAGAGAATATTTTATTAGTTTCTATAACTGAACCCATGTGGAAAAGACCTTACATATTTAATACAGCACTTTACCCCTAGGAAATCGGATCTTTTAACCTCGTAGTTCTTAAACTTATAGGAGCACCACAATCTTTTGAAGGACTCAAAAAAGCAGAAGTTTCAGGGCCTCAACCTGTTTTCCAATTGTAGATTTGAGATGAGCCCCATCAATCTGTTGAGAAGATCCCAGACTACGCTGACTCTGCAAATCCAGTGACCACAGTTCTGAGAACTAATTGTTCAAACGCCAAAATAATCTCTCATGGGCTCTGGCTGCATCCTCATTCATACATTCATTCACATACATACTCTATTTGTTTATTTTATTCCATTTTTTTTTAATTTTTTTATTGAGAAATAAATACGAATGAGACAGTTTCACAGCTGATTAATAGGACAGTTTTGATAATCAATACATTGTACCACATATGTACTCTACACTCCCTGAACTTCAATGCTAAAACTCAGCATCAGGATCCTGTTCTCAAGAAACCCATAGGATACTGGGAAAGGGCACAAAAACAAACTGTAATTTCAGAGTGCTACAGAGGGCTGTACTACAGAGTGTGACAACACAAGCCAGAGGATGGAAGAGCAAATCATTTCATGGGAAGCAGAGGAGGAAAGAAACAGGGGCTGCTTCCCAGAGTTTCCGAGCCTCAACCTGTTTTCCATTTGTAGATTTGGGATGAGCCCCATCAAAAATAAGCAGGGAGTAGAAAGCAGGCATGCCAGGGAAACAAAACAGCACATGATGCACACCACTAAGTGTAGATGGGAAATAGAGACAGGAAGACTGCAAAGACAGGCAACAGTCTGATCACCAAGAGTTTATTTCATGTGGATCCTGAAATTGATCTTTTGACAATGAACAGGGGTAGAAAGCACTGATGTGAACAGGTTTTGTTTTACAAAGCTTACTCTGACACATGGTGAATGGCTCAGTAACTGTTTATAACTAAACAGATGAACAAATGTACATCACTCTGGATGTACATGTGCCTTGCTCTGAGGCTCTGCTTCCTCTTAGCCTAGCAAGGGGTTCAAAACACGTTTAGTGAATACCTACGGAATTGCACTGAACGAGCTTTTCATCAAGTGCCCTCTTAGAGATGAGGGGCTGGTCACCTTCCCTGCAGGTATCACTTTGGCCAGGGCAAGACTCGTAAAACAGGTCCAGCAACCTCAATTATTGCACATTACTCTCTGTACAACTGGAGTCCCCCAAGGGCCTTCATTGTTTACAGGTCTACCTCACCCTCTAGACTTTGAGCTCTTGGAAGACAGTGAAAGTCTTAAGACTCTGGATCCTCACAGCCTTTTGCAGAAGATTAAACCACAACAGCTCTCAAGGCTCCAGTAACGCTAGATAAAGGAATGATTAAATAAACACACTGACCAGGTAGACCCATGAGTCCACACACATGGGGATGACCCAGGGTGTAAGGTCCTTGTTCCTATCACCGTTTTAAAGAAGTATTTTCTAGTTGACTTGGGGTGGGTTTCCCAGTACCTGACTTAGGAATTTAGCACTGAAATAAAAAAGCCCACCGCGACTCTGAAGGCCCAATGGAGAGAAGTCAGCTCTACCTGAGAGGAGGGAGGCAGCAAAGATTCCCCATGGTGAGGATCCAACAGGGCAATTGCAAAAGCTGAGCAGGTCAACGCTACCTATGGGTTGCTGGGGCACAAAAGCAAACTTCTGAAAACTTTACGGGTGGAAGTGACCTAGTGAAGGTCACAGAGCAAGTAAGTCCCAAAGTAAGTCAGAAGAGGCATCTGGTACCGATGACTCCCATTTTTAAATGACAGAATCCAGGTCTAAGACACAAGGCAAAATTAAAGGTTTTTCTAGGTAACAGCTTCCAAAACAAAGGCAAGACTAATTAATTTCAACTTGTACCGATAATCACAGTACTTAAAACACAGTAAGCAAAACAGAATTGTCCAAAACCCTTATCAAAGAGATTCTACTCACAACCTCAAAAGCACACCCAACAGTTCTCAAGTGGTCCCCCGAAACCCTTCCAGGAATACCTGTTAAAACATTTAGAATACTGAAGGTTTTAACAATCACACCTTTTGAAATGGAGTAACATACAAGAAACGATCGTGGTTCTCCTTTCTCGTCTGTTTTTAACTTCCCAAGCACGGAGACGCGGCATGGGGGAAGGGCTGCTCAAGTCACGGACTCGGGTCTTATTTTTCAAAGAGTTGAACCCTAAGAGAACTCCCCAAGCCCGGATAGAGACATCTTTCCCTGCAGAACGAATCGCGTAACTCGGTGCGAGGCTTCCCCGTTGCCCGCCAGGGTTAGCGTCGGAGGACCGCGAAAGTCGGTCCGGTCCCGGTTCGGGTCCAGGGTCCGCCTGCCCGCCCTCCGGCTCCGCCCGGACCCCGCGCGGCCGCCCGCTCCCGGTCGCCCACCCCTAGCGGGAGCCTCGCACTTGCACCAGGGGCCTTTGTTGCCCGACGGGAGCGGCCGGCCTCGGGCGGCGCCCGCCTGAGCTCACCTGGCGCCCCCACCCTGCCGCCCGGTCCCCGCCGCGGGAAGGGATGGGATGGGCCCGCCGCCCGCACCCGCGCACCACCCCGCCGCCGCGGGGCCCGGACGCGCGCGGGAGGCCGGGTCTCACCTTCCGCGCCCGCTCGGCTGCGCCCGGCTCCTCGTCCTCGTCCCCGTCCCCGGCTGCGGCAGCCCGGCCGGAGTGAGCCCGCGTGTGCGCGAGCGGCCGCCGAGCTCTCCCTCCCGCGCCGCTCGCGCCGGGGCCCCCTCAGGACCACGGACGCGCGAGTGAAGGGTGGGCGAGGGCCGGGAAGGACCGGGTCCGAGCGTGCGGGGACGCGCGCCACTCGCGCGGGAGGACTCCGAGGGAGGAGGTGCGAGTCGCAGGGACTCTCCAGGGCGCGGCGCGCAGCGAGCTGGACGACTGTGTGGGGCGAAGGCTTCTGTAGAGGAGGACGGCCGCGCCGC